GTGTAAATGCCCCACATAGCATATAGTTTTTGTGGCTTTACATATTTCACATCTATAATTTTATTTTTTTTTATAGTATTTTGGTGTCTTAAATCTATACATGAAAACTAAAAATGATAATTTATCCAAAAACAGCTGCAAATCAACCGTTTTTCAAACGCAGAAACCAAACAACTACATAGCTTATCCAAACAAGGGGCTGAATGATCATTTATCCAAAAATAGTGGCAAATCAAGTATTTTTAAAACACACAAACTAAACAATTAGTCATCTTATCTGGATCAGCTGCTTATCAACAGCTTATCAGGATAAGCTGCTTATCTAAATAAGCTGCAGCTGCTCCAAACAGACCCTAAAGTTGGTGAGAGTTTGGAGCATTAATGATTTTGATTTTTTTTAATTGTTCAAGCGAGAAGTGGCACACTATTCAAAAATTAGTTAATAGATGAGGTGAAGCATGATAATCCATCCATTAAGAGGATGAGTATGAGCTATTTCAACATTTTCTTAATAAAATTAAGAATATTGTTTGTTACAGGTAATGTCACTGAAAATATTGGAGTATATAAAATTATATTTGAATGACTTGATGATATAATTTTTTCGTATCTCTTTTGTGGTTTGAGTGAAATGAATGATGTTAAACTAAAAAATACCAACGATAAGGATAAACATGCAAAGGTATATGGGAGGAATAATTTTTATGATGATCATTAGAATTTCGATAATAATATTTCAGATGATTATGAAGAGTTTATCAGTAGTGATTACAACATTCATGAAGATGAGTAATTTAAAAGCAATGTTGATCCTTCTGTTGAATTCACATGTATAACAAATAAAAGTAAGAAGAAGATTGGATAATGTTTTCAAATATTAAGTGAAATGTTAGAAAGAAAATATTATGATAGTGATTGTATGAATTCCAATGATGAAGCAAGTGTTCATATCAGCGGTGAAGTTGATCTCATTAAGTGACCAATCTTCAACCTTATGACAGACTTTTAATAATATAATCTTGAACCGGAAATGCTATTTAGTTTTAAAGATGAATTTAAAGAAATTGAGCAAAATTGGTCGATTGCTAGAGGAAAGAGCAAAAGTTTTTTAAGAAAATGATAAAAGGAGGTGCAAAATAATTTGTAGAAAACCTAATTGTCCATTTCATTTGTATATTTTAAAGCATAAGGAAGTCATTCATGACAAATAATAAAATTTCAAGAGCATACTTGTTCATGGAGTTGTTTTGACAAAGTTTTAACATCCACAATTATAACAAAAGAAAAAAAGAAAAAAGGATGAATCCACAGTGCAAGGCTAAATTTTTTAGAAGATAAATAATAGTTGAATTGAAGTTACATGTTTCAAAGTCGCAAGGTAGAGAAGCTATCAATAAGACATGTAAGTTGGTGCACATAAAGGAGGATAAACAATTTAAAAAGATATGAGATTATTGTTTAGAAATTATAAAAATAAATCCATGAACAACTATATCTATAAAAACAACATTAGACACATATTTATATGGTTGACTAAAATTTTTCAGGACGTATGCTTTCTTTGAAGAATGTAAAAAGGCTTATGCTTAGGTTGCAAAGCAATCATTGTGGTTAATGTCTATTTTTTTAAAGGACAACAAGACGAACAATTATTATCCGCACTTAGTTTGGATGATAATAATAATATATTTCTAAAAGTATGGGCTATTGTTGAAAGTGAAACCAGAATAGTTGTGAGTGGTTTTGGGATTTGTTGGCTATAGATTTACATATATTTGATAATCAATACAAATTTATATTTATGTCAAATAAACAAAAGGGATTGATAACTGCTTTTGAGTATATTCTGCTTTATGTTACAAACTGATTTTATGTGCGACATCTGCATAATAATTTTAAGTTGGCAGGATTCAAAGGAGCTACTTTGAAGAATGCTTCGTGGGCAAAAGTGAAGAGTATAATTAAAGAATTAGTTAAATTAGATCATATGGTTATAGATGGTTGGCTAAAAACAAGTGAGTGGTCTCTACCACAAGTTAATTGAATCTCTAAATGTTATACATTGGTTAAGAGTATGTGTGAATACGTCAACTCTATCATCTTTATGATAAGATAGTTTCCTTCAATAAATATATATGAATATGAGAATCATATTGGAGTGAAGGATGATGATGAGAACTATCATATCATAATATGTTGTCAACTTAAATGATCTGTCAAGTATTTCTAGAAGATGTGAACTAATTGGCTTGTCTTGACTTTATGCCTATGGTGCAATAAATATGAGTAAGCTTCACCATTATCATTTTGTCCATAATTATTATATTGTTGATATGTATAAAAAAAACTTATGAGCTCAATATTATGCATGCCAATGATCCCAATGAATGATATAAAATTAATAGAGCATATCTCTTTTCATTAAAGTATAATAAAGCTAAGAGAGACCGACCACCAAAGTTAAAGAAAAGGATTACATGAACAACAAAATGACTCATAAAAAAGAATCTTAAGTAGGGCAACCATGGCTTTACCTTATAACAAATGCAGAAAAAGTGGACACGAGAAGAAAAGTTGTGGTAAGATGAAAGAAAAGATTACGAAAGCTCAATTTGAGCAGAAACTCTAAGGTGAGAAAATCTTACAATAACAGTTGTATACTGAAGAATCAAATGAGAGGATTACATTAATGATTATAATGAATTCATATGTTATTTAATTAAATAAAAAATATATACTCCAATTTTTTTTGTATTTATTTTTCTTTGGTATGCTCGTTTAATAGATATTGATCAGTATCATGGTTCACAAACAATAAAAATATTAGAAATGTTGACACAAGGATCGGTTAATAAAAGATTATTGGATTAAATAAAAATTTTTAAGGTATTGTGATTTTTTTTCTATTAATGTCATATTTTGTTTGTTAACATGTTTGCACTTCTAAGCGAATGAAGGTTGGGTGGATGAAGTTTAGAGGTACTCAATAGTTTTGGAGTTCTTTTGTATAAGCTTTAGTTTATAAATTTGTATCATTAGTATTTTGGAGTTTTATAATTTTGCACTTAATGGCAATAACGTTTTGCATCATGTAATATGGATATAAATTTGTGACGATTTTAAAAATTGAAAATTTTTACTGCATTTAAAAAAATTATGGTGATTAGTCATTATTGTTGTTATTTACGCAGCGTTATTTCAATTTCAATGTTATTTCAATTTAAATTGTAGTGTTTACCGAGGTTTAGAGAGTGAATTTAGTGTTGAATTGTTTGAATTTAGTGTTGAGTTGTTTTCATCAATATTTACCAAGATTTTGCTTTAAATTTAACAAAAAATTTGATTTAGACTTTTAATTGTTTGGGACTATCCCGAATTGAAATTGGACACTTCTAAATTGTTATTATATTCAGATGCATTAAATTGGAACTTCTAGATTGTGAAAAATTTTGATATGAAAAGCACATCTTAAAATTGTTTGGAAAATAGAAAGATATAGCAAAACAATATGACATGTTCAGGTTTTCCCGTATTACCGCAATTTTGTTTACTTTTAGATTGATTGATTGATATAATCAATTTGGATTTTTGCCGGGCAGGTGTACTATGGAAGCTATGCATTTATTGAGAGGTTTGATGGAGAAGTTCAAAGATAATAAGGAGAATCTATATATGATTTTTTATGATTTGGAGAATGCTTACTATAATGTTCCAAGAGATATCCTTTGGAGTGTCTTGATAAGGAATGTGTTGATATGACTTATATTCAAGTCATTAAAGATATGTATACAAGAACTGTTACTTGTGTTCGAACAGAAGGAGGATTGACCAAATATTTTCCTATTTCTATTGGTTTACATTAGGGATCAACTTTAAGCCCATATCTTTTTACTTTAGTTATGGATGATCTCACTGGACACTTACAGGAGGATGTACCTTGGTGTATGTTTTTTGTTGATGATATCCTTCTCGTGGATAAGACAAGAGAAAAAGCTCAGGAAAAACTTGAATTATGGAGGTCTACCTTAGAGTTTAAAGGCCTTCATTTGAGTAGAACTAAAACTGAATACATGGAATATAATTTAGTAGTAGTAGCTCTAGTGACTAAAATGTAACTATGGGTGATCAAATTATTAAAAGGTGTGAACGCTTTAGATATCTCGTGTCTAATGCTCAAAGTGATGGTGATATTGATGGGGATGTTATTCGTAGTATTCAAGTTGGTTGGTTGAAGTGGAGGAATGCTTCGGGCCTACTACGTGATAGAAAAGTACAGCTTAGACTGAAAGAAAAATTGTATAAAATGGTGGTGAGAGCTGCAATGCTCTTTGGTGCTGAATGTTGGCCTTTAAAAGAGAAGCATAACACTAGGTTAAGTGTTGCCGAGATGAGAATGATTAGGTGGATGAGTGGCTTTACAGTTAGAGATTAAATGCGAAATGAATATATCCGTGATAGGGTTGGTGTAGCTTCTGTGACGGACAAAATTAGAAAAAGCCGTCTTAAATGGTTTGGTCACATTAAGGGTCGACCATCTGATGATCCGATTAGGAGAGCAAATGTTTTAGATTCAACTTATGTTAAGAAAGGCATAGGTAGTCCTAGGAAGACTTGGCCTTGTTGTATTAAAAATGATCTAAATTTATTAGAATTATAGGAAAATATGACACAATGAAGAAAAATGATTCTTGTAGCCTACCCCACGTTGCGGGATTAAAGCTTTGTTGTTGTGATCACAAATTTAATAAAAAAAAGACTGCTTATGAAACTTTAGTTTGTCATATAAAATAATAAAAAAAGACTTCATATGAAAGTTTAGCTAGTCATATAAAATATTTAAAATGGTCATATAATATTGTTTTATTAGCAAGTCTTATAATATATTATTTAGGGTCATAGAAATAGATATTATTTGTGAGTTTAATGTGAACATGTGTACTTTAAGAGAGTTTAAAAACTTATATATATAAGTGGCAAGAAAGAAGTGCAAAGCCGTGCAAAAGCAAAGAGGGTTGTAAGGTATGGTTGTATCAACTATATATTTTCCATTTTCATGCTTTCTATTGAAAATTAAATAACTAATAATGCTTGTTTCTTCCATGCATGTCAACAGGTAATTATCTTTGGGATTAGCATTAATTGAAGATCATGGCAACCCCAGCTCAAATTCCACCTAATAAATTTACATATATATGGTCGAATGCTTGGAACAACCAGCCTGATGGGTTTGTGTCTAGTTTCGTATACCATTTTATAGATATGTATAGGTGATATCTAATGTAAATAAGAAAAAGTTACTTTTTCTTTTATTTTCAGGTCAAAATATTATTCTGGGGGAAGCTACTTCTTTATTGGCCAACGCGGAAAGGTCCGAGAGCTTGGTCTTAACCCAAACAGCCCATATAAATTTTCCTATACATT